AGAGAGAGCTAACAAGCCCAGACAAAATGTTTTTTCATTGAACTTTCTGGCGTTTAGTTTTACACCTTCTTACTGCGGAAGCCCAATATTAATTAATGACTCGATGATTGGTTTTATTTACTAAAACAACCAGGTTTGGCGCTGTTTAGATTTGCTTCAACATGTGAAAAAAAATCTCGTCAGTCAAAGTAAATACCATTACGTTCCATCCCTCATCTATTATTTATCCAAGTCTTGGTGCTGCGTCAGAGGTTGCTCTTTGACCTCTCTGTGAGAATTACAACATTGTCAACAGTAGTCGGGTAATGTGCAGTTATCAGACCAAAGACAGGATCCTTCAGTAGAGGAAGTATTTCCTTCTTGCAGTAAAATACTGTGTTGTTTTTTTCAGTTGTGAACACATTTGACCAGACAGTCTTAGTGGTTTTGAGCTAAAGTCTCAGCTCTGTGGGTTTACTCCGAACCAGTAGGTGGTGATAATGGGACCGGCTGTACTGTGAAACATACAGCAGGTGTTTGGTGTTACTCCTGATGGGGATTATACGGTATAGTTACAACTCCTCACAGACATTTGAATACAAAGGTTGTGCTGGAACTTAATTTGCTGTACGCACTCATGTTGTGGAAAAAATAAATAGCGGTAAAATGGGGCCCAAATTCAATAAAAAATGTTTAATGTAGAACTAAATGGGGATAAAAGGTTGTTTTAGGCTGTGACATCCAGTGGAATTTGCATCATTTCTCCAGGACAAAATCCTACATGCATGTAGATACTTTGAATGACAACTTGTATCTTGTGACATTGGTCGACTGATATTATAGACCGATTTAACAGACCGATATCCATCCATCCATTCATCCTCCCCTGTTTGTTTAAAAATACCTAAAAATACTTTTTGAGAAAAATGGATATATGCATGTATTTGTATCGTTGATATTTGTTTGTGTTTGGACAATGACAGCATATCAGATATCAGATGCTAAGCTAATATTTAAATATAAAACTAATATCCCTTCTTATATCTATCCCAAACTTTACATCCAAATCTTAAATACATGGCTGCTTACACTACCTTTTGAGGATTTACCAAGGTTTTGTAAATGCTTTTTAGCCTGCTATATTTGGGGTGCTTTCTTAATTAATTAATCCTATTTGTATTGTATCTCATGTCACTTTGGGAGATGATACTGATACATTTCAAACCCTAAATACACCTGTGTATTTTATCCATTGTCTCACAAAGACCGTGTTTAAAACCTTGTGCTAACTCTGCTTGTCTGAGGATGAAAGGTTTAAAACAATGATGTTTATTGGCGAATGGATAATGAAGGAGTGTCTCGCTGGCATGTAGAGAAAGTGATCGGGGATGTAGAGAAAATTAAATATGTACTGTATGTATAATGAGGGTTTTATTGAGGCAACAACAGGTTAAGATGAGTGAGGTCATTCTGTCAGGCTGTGAGATCCGTTAAATAAACACCTTGTTGCTGAGAGGCAGTGATGTCTCTGCAGGTTACGGATCGTTACTCATCTCATACGAGCTATCGATTGGAACTCACAAAATAAAACTACTTTTCTGCTTCTTTCTTCTGCTACGGTGAGAACAAGTATAAGAAAAAAATACTGATTTTTTTTTATTTCTTTACATCAGGTCGATCAGTGCAATAATTCAGATCTCTTTTTATTTTTAATTATTTCTTTTGTTTGTTTTTGTCCGACCAACAGGCTGTTTTTCTGCCTCATTTTACATTACTTACCCTGAAGTTTTACCTTTTCAACTGTTTACCGTGCAGAGTTCACTTTTTTGTCAGCCAGAGTAAACGTGGAGGGAAAAAAAAGGACTCATCAGGATGCGCCTGCTTCAAGTGTCTTATTGTTTGTCATGCTCTCATTTTCCCTCTCATTGTCAGCTCCGTCTTAATCAAGTGAAAGTGTGTTTTTATAACCCTCATTAGCAGCAGCAGACGGCTGACCTCCTTTAATGAGTCTTCTTAACATCTTTGGAAAGTAGGTGAATGATGACTAAAAGCATCATATACAGGCGTAAAATGTTAAATTAAATCAAGCGAGGCGTTTTAATGTCAGTTACAAAGAGTTGGTAATGAACATTCATGTTTTGCAGTTTCCCGGTTTTTATTTTTATTTTTTGTTGGTTTTTTTTATGCATGTCATTCATTCTCATCAGGCTGCAGCTTCCTTTGGCTCCGAATCAAACTTTTCATCTCAACTCTGCGTCTTTCAGTCGCTTCCTTAGCTTAGCTCCTTTTAGCAGGTTAGCACGCTGTCATTCTGTCTTTCAGTCGCTTCCTTAGCTTTTAGCAGGTTAGCACGCTGTCATTCATTTACCCACTGTGGAAAAAGCCCTTGGCTTTCCTTAGGCTGCTTTTTTTTCAATGTCTTGTGAGCCAACTGCAGAGAAGAAGAAAAAAACACGATGCAGCTGTTTGAATATTCAAAGCAAATATTCAGTGAAGAGGGTTCAACTGAATTTGGGCTTCGTCTCAATCATGCAGTTGTTTAAGGTAAATTAATGTGAACAAGTGCCTGTAATTACTCTAGTTGTACAAAAATATCCATTAGACTTCCACAGTTTAAATAATTATTAGCTATTCAGCATGAGAATTAGCCCAATCTAGGTCGTCACGTTTATTGCCAAGACACTGGTGGAAGTATATGAACAAATGCCCTAAATATAGTTGAACAAATATTGGCCTCCGGTCAAATCAATGCAAACCATGTTAAAGGTCTCCATTTAGGATCACTCTGGTTACAGATCTCCTAGGTTGACAAATATACCTTATAAATGTTGACAATATTTGAGCCACGTTGTGAAACTATATATTTTTATTTATCGATTTGAGTCCCACCTGTGTCTATCTTAGCAACTGCATCCTCGATATTTATAGAGAGAATGGTTTAGACTTTTTTGCCAAGGTTGCACCGATCTTATTGTACTTTATTTTCCAGGCCCAACTGCAATGTAAAGTCAATTTGCCATAATTTGTTCACAGTTATATTGTAACGGAAAGTACGTTTTTGACATAAGCTATGCTAACATTTAACAAACACTATTCTGAAGTGACACTGTTTACCTCAACATGGAGTTTTCACTACGTCTTATCAACTTAACTTGTTGTTCTGGAGAACAGTTCTAGTCTTCGTTCTAGTCTTCGTTCTCCTCAGTCGATGATTCCACAATTAGTGTCCAGAGAGCCCGCTGACATTTGCAGCCCAGTTGGACGGTGCGGTGGAGTTGATCAAAGTGCTGAAGAACGGAGGAGCTCACGTGGACTTCAGGGCCAAGGATGGGTTGACTGCTGTTCACAAGGCAGCAAGGTCCAAGAACCAGGTCACGCTGATGGTAAATACCAGAACATCAACACAAACTTCATCTGCTGATTAGTGTTTTAGTAGTAGGGCCGCGAACCAGTGATTTACCACAGTCTGTCCTGTAATTAACAGAACTACTGGACCTACAGTATGATTACATTTTTTTTTTTTTTTTTTGTAAATTATGGAAAACATTCCTGTTGTTTGTGTTTCAAACTATTGTGTTTCCTCAGACGCTGTTGGAGTTGGGAGCGTCTCCCGACTACAAAGACAGCCGCGGTCTGACGCCGCTGTACCACAGTGTGGTGGTGGGTGGCGACCCCGGCTGCTGCGAACTGCTGCTGAGTCACCACGCTTCTGTGTGCTGTCAGGACGAAAATGGCTGGCATGAGGTTCATCAGGTAGTCTACCGACCCACACACACACACACACAACTTAGCCAGGATTAGCTGTCGGCATGGAACGATTTAAAAACTGTGTTACTGAGCAAGAAGTGAAATAGAAAAATCACGTGAGATCAGTTAGCGTGTATTGAGGTTTGCGCTGTGGGTCATGGTAGTAACAGAAAAGAACGAAACACTAAAGTCGACACCTGTGACACTGGGGATTCAAAAATCAAGTAGTAAAAGTGGCAGAATAAAATAAAAAGTAAAAACAGACTTTTTTTTTAGCTGTTCCCAGACAGTATTTTACACGGTCAGTCGTGTCAGTGACCTGAGATGGAAGTTGTCTAAGAGTGAATTTGTCATAGAGATGAACCATATATTGGCAAATAGTCACCATACTGTATTTTTATTTTCTTTCTAAATCTAAATCAGTGGTTCTCAAACTGTGGTATGCATACCACCAGTGGTACGCAAGTGCTCTCTAGTGGTACGTGGGGAAAATTCATATTTTCACATTTACATTTTCAGTTGAATAAATCGCAAACAAACCTATGCACAATTCATACATGAACATCTTTATAAACATCTCTCCTGTGCTGGATGCTAACAGTGAAGGCCTACGCTGCTGTATTCTACTGTTGGTCATCATGGTGGGACTCAGAGAGATCAGTGTTTTCTCAGGTGGTACAGGAGTATAAAAAGTTTGAGAACCACTGATCTAAATGTTTTAAATGTCAAACAAATACAAACTCACAGACAGGCTGTTTTCTGTGTACAACAGAAGTGACCAAATGTAGTTTTTTATGCCAAAAAAAAAACTGTTTAAAAACATTACTGCATTACAGCTGTTTTTGTAAGTGATTAAAGTTAATGACTTGGCCTGTTTGTATTTTCAGTTGAGTTTGTCGAGGCTTTCTCCAGAAATAACAGTTGTTGTTTTCATGTCGTTTGAGTCAGAAGCAGAACTTTTAATCTCCATCGCTGTTTTTACAGTGCTGCTTAAGCCCCGGCTTTTACAGAAAAAGGAATAGTCCTCATAAAGTCTCATAAAAGCACAATGGCTCTGTGGCCTCTCTCTCTCTCTCTTTCTCTCTCTCTCCCATTTGTGCTCCGTCCTGGTGGAGCTGCGGTGTACTGCAGGATTATATTGTGATTTAACTCACACATATGTTTGGAAATAATTCTAAAGCTCTGTCGGCACACACTCACTCCACTGATAACGGGGTTCAAACCAAGGCCTGGGGTTGTTTCTCATCAGGATCTAAGCTGCGCTGAAGCACACTGACATCTAATGGTGAAAGCTTTGTACTGCAGCTACCGGATGTAATTTTCTCTGTGTGTGTGTGTGTCTCTCTCTGTGTTTGTGTGTGTTGTGCGCGCGCCCAGGCTTGCCGGCACGGTCACGTGCAACACCTAGAGCATCTGCTGTTCTACGGGGCAGACATGAGCGCCCAGAATGCTTCAGGAAACACCGCTCTGCACATCTGCGCTCTGTACAACCAGGTGAGCAGGGAAGACGTCGGTGTTTACTGTGTATCACATATCAAACAAATAAATAACAAACAAACAAACAAACAAACGAACAATAAAACATTTAAAAAATATATATTTAAAAAAAATCAAAACCAGACAGTTCAAGGGTCTGAAAGGATTTGGGCCACATGACTTTGTCTTTTATTTCTGCATATTGATATTGACTAAAGTACTAATTATAAAATGCTAACATTCTAATAGTGTAAAGACATGATTCACCAACTGGGGCTACTTTCTATTTCTTCTGTCTT